AGAAGGGATTGAGAAATGGATTTGGGTTTGAAGGAAGGGATCTGGGTTTGGTTTCCGACAAGGTAAGAGTTCGTTGACGCCGCCATAATCGTCGATTTTTGAGGAATCTTGAAACTTTTTGTTTTCCAAAAAGATTGTTATGAGAAAAGTGTATAGTGACGGCCAAAAGAAAACAAATAAGTATCTGAAAATAGTGAACTCTGAAAGAGTAGTTGGTTGGTGGGAGAGGTCAAAGTTAAGACAAGGAAACGACGCTGTTTTTGGTAGGTAGATTAATAAATGATTTTGTTTCGTTTCGGTTTAATTTTGATCCGGGTTTTGAGTAAACAAATATAATAATAGTTTTAATTAACATTATTTTTATGTGATTTTTATATGTTAAATTAAAATAATATTTTACTAATTTCTTACACAAAAAAAATTGTATTTTCCGGTTTATTTGGTAAAAAGTTCTACCTTTCAAATTCTTATTAATGAATTTTGGTTTGGTTCGGTTCGGATTTTATTTCCTCTTGTACACCGAGTCCTAATTTTAGGTTGCTCAAAATTGAACTGGAAAAATGGAATCAGAATGTTCTTTTGGTCCATTGGTCGAATCGGACAAGGAATCATTTGGTGGAATAAAACGTATCTGCAGTAATTTCTTATTGTTTTTTATTCTTCAGTAAAAAGAGCAACTCAAGTAAAAGAATGATTGAATCATTTATCATTCAATATGGAGTTTATTTGGAGAGAGATGTAAACAGAAAGTTACCATCAAAGTGACATAAAAGAAAAAAGATCAGAATCAAATTTCAGACAAATTGAATTGGGATTCTTCTTTTTGTGTTTTGTTGTGTTATTTGTGCTTCAGAAGAGTAAACGAGGAATTATGTCAGCAGCTGTACAGACTACTCTTGTTGTACTTTGGCTTCAAGGATGATGAGACTCAGACACAAGAAAGTGTGCTTCACACTTTGCTATGTACCCAAATTTGGATGTGCTGTACTTCCTATATACCCCTGTCAAGTTCCCCGTCGCCGCCTTCGCATGTAGACTTACCATCTTCCTAGAACATTCCCTGCAAAACCCGCAATGACAATTCGTTATAAAGATCGGTCTTTCTCGGTATTATTTCGTGTTCGTGGATGGAAAAGGATCAGTCTTTGGTTAAAAGATCGGTCTTTTCTCAACACCCTTTTGTGTTTATGTATAAAAAAGGATCAAGTTTTGTAAAAAGACCGGTATTTACTCGACATATCGATTAAAGAATCAGTTTTTGAATGAGAATGGAGAGACTTACATGAGCTGAGCTTCAGAGTAATGACAATGGAATTCACATGTACTGTTCCATTGCCTGTAACCATCAAGTGTACATTGAGCAGTGTACACTGCTGTAGCAGCTAGTAATGAAGGTGGAAACCGAAGCATCTCATACTCCACAAGGGCAAGCTCGATCAAGAACGATGCCAACACCTCACACTGTTTTGTTCCAGTCTCACCATTAGTGTCAGAATTCAAGTTAAAAATGATTCATGAGTTTGTGTAATGGTTTTAACTTACCTTCTTATCTGCTTGAGCCGCCTTAAGGAATCTTTTCAAGAAAGGGTATTGTGTAGGCAACGAGACATTGAATTGCAAAGTGCTCAACATTATTTTCTCCTGCATAGAGAAAATTTGAATCAGAAAATGTCTTAATCTAAACTAGACAAGATTTGTTTCTTCTATGTAAATAAAAAGCAACCCTTTACCATCTCTAGAACATCTTTCCTCGTATAAGCTTTGTCCGAAATGAGTACTAAATCTTCGACAACAGGTACCGAAACCTCTTCGTACTTGCAAGCTAAGAGTAAAGCAACTAATCCTACAAGCTGAAGCTTCTTTCTCATAACACCTTGCTTGGACAAGAATCTATCAATCAGATTCACTGTGAGAAACAATGTCTCGTTCATCAGATCAAACTTGTCATGTACCTGAAAAGATACATAATCTTATTTAGGATCTATCAATTACACAGTACAATGTAGAGGACTTATCGAATGAACGAATGTCGATATATACCTCGATTAACCAGTCAATTAGTATCGCTCTCATCTTATCGTTTAAATCCATTTGTTGTGCCATATAATCTACTGGTACACAACTAAAGCTCTGCAAATTCAAAATCAAGAACTGTCTTAAACTAAGCTCAAGCCTCTTGTTGCTTAAGAGAGAGATAGACCAAACCACAATGTACCTCCATTTTTCGGTAGAATTCATATAGATCTTGGACATACTCAACAGCCGCAAGCGAGTTCTTTGAATCCGAGACATCGATATCCAAAATCGGTTCTTCCACTATTACATCTTCCATCTCAACTTCCTCCTGTTGTATGCAACTCGTTAACATTCGAATTGCACTCAAAGCTAAGATCTTTATCTGAAAGTTGATTAAGAGTTTTCGTTGTTACCATTAAATCAGTTTCAGTGATGCTTATGTATGGCTTCTCTAATGACATCGGCATTGGATGGTCCAATGTAGCTTCTTCTTCCTCTTCATCGACGAATATACAGTCACCAAACTCATTCACGCTTGGAACCGATGGCTTCAGCTTCTTTGGCTCTTCAACTCGAGATCTGAAGAATCAAAAATCTCAGATCTTTCTTCAAAATACAAACACAAATTAAAAGCTTCATACTTTATATACATACCTTGTAATTGAAAGCTTCTTCTTTTGACACCCTTCTTCTTCCCTTCTGATTCAAATCATCCAAAAAACCCATAAGCCCAATGAAATTGAAGAGAAACATTCAAAAGACAGGAACTTTGGATTTGAGATTTTGTTAAAAATTTGTACTTTGATAAGGTTCCTCCTCTCTTGTTGACAACACAAGGATAAGCTCTTGCACCAACAAGATTATGGTTAATCACACCCAACA